CTTAGTCCTATTTCTACTTCTATATCCTTTTGTCCTGTCCTTTCCCACAGCTTTTCCTTTTTTATTCTATCCTGCCACTTAATTCTTAGATATAGTACCACCAAACAAAATAAAAGACTAGAATTACAGTTTGGTGCAACTCTTGAGTAATGTCAGTGTGCTAGCACAGTGATGATGTAGCATATATCCACACTCAACAGCATTCTCCTTGTGCTTTATAATTGCAATGGAGTCTCCTTTAACGGAAATCAGTGGGATTGCTGGATTTGCTTCAGCTTAGCCATATTTTGGGTTTACCCTGTTTTCAGATTAACGCTGTACAGTTTAATCCTTATCTCTGGCAAGCCACTTCTAGCAGCCCATGGTCAGAACTGCGGTGCCAGAGAGCAAATGAAAGTGGCTCGGGCACGTTCCTTTACAACAACTTTGATATCAAATGACTTTTTGGCAATTGCCGAAAACAGGTCTCTTTTATTGAGAGTCCTTTCATTTTATGAAGTACTATCAAAATAGGTTAATGTGTTTAGTTTTATTGACCAATCGAGTGACGTATATGTCACTTTTAGATTTTGTACCAAAAGAGGGCCCTGGCATTGTAGGGTTACCTCCCTCAGAGATAAAGAGTTAAGCAAAATCCCACTGTATTATTACCCCAGCAGATCCAAGAACATGACTCGAAAAAATCTCCGGCTTGCCAGAAAGCATGCAGTGCAAGCTGTGGATTACACATGCTAAAACATGAACAAACTGACGAAATCTTTTGATTTATACAGCCGGGTACCCATTCCCACCTGGGTGGTGGAAGGAAAATATGTGTAAAATGCTTTTCCCAAGGACACAACATTGACCCCTGAGAAGATTCAAACCCATGCCCTTACAGTTGAGAGTTTGAGAGCTTCCACTAGACTATGAATGCCATACTGGATCAATATGCAAATCTAGGGTGTTAACTCTCTGTGGCACTATGTTTGAGTAGCAATATCAACATTCCTCAAGAATGTGTTTTTAGGAGGCGAAAGGAGGGGGGGGGGGCAAATTTGTTTTTACCAAATTCTTTTTGTTTTTTCTTTGGGATGCTGAGGGCTATGGGTTTTGTTCTTGTGGATGCATCCAGACATCCAGATTTCTGAAATTGTCTAGATATTGTCCAGACTTCTTGATACAAGATATTTTAAACAACATGATCTATAGATTTTGCTACCCCGAGTGGGTCGGGGGGATATAAATAGACCCACTGCTTCGTCTGCAGGAGGTACAACCCCTTCAAAGACGAGGTGTCGCACATGGACCCCAACCCACTGGGATCCGGATACGACACCCATTTTGATGTATCTTCCTCTTTTCCTTCTTTCTTTCTTTCTTCTTCTATCTTTTCTCCCACCGCTGACCTCTTGTGCAGCAAAAAGAGAGGTCACCCATCCCACAGAGTGGGCGCCTTGTTGACCGTGAGGTGTGACCTTTGCGGAGTAAAACCAGGTACCTGGCGGTTGAGGTGAGATCAGTCTACGGACTGTCCCTCACCAACACACCTCTTTGGCCCAGGTTTTCCTCTGAGACGGGAGGGTGGCACGGCCCATGCCACTCAATCGGTTAAGAGCTGAAATCTCTTCAAGCCCTGGGTCAATCTTGACGGGAGAGTTTTGTACACTCTCGTGAAGAGAAGTGCTCCGGGGTAGCCCTGGCACAGCTCTGGTCATCCAAGCAATGTGCCGCTTGTTGGGCTCGATGGCGGTTGGGGAGCCCCGGAGTCAAAACACCATTCAAAACGCATATGGAAACCTCAAAATCAAAAGACCTTTCTCCAGCTCCCAGTGGAAGCGGGTGCGGCTGCCGAGCCGAGCGAAAATGAAAAATAAACGGAAAAAGGACCTTTACCGCAGCCTCTTTCCTCCCTTCTCCCAGGGAGCTTCTGAAGCAGCCGTACGTGGCCATAAGCAGTAGGGAAGACGCACTGAAGAAGATCACTGATCTGAATCTGTCAAGACTGGAGATGCATTACGACAGGTTGTGGGATACATTCCTATGAATGTCCAGAAGCTGTCCTCTGATGTAGGCTACTACTCGTCAGGTGCGCAACTGAGACTGAAGTGACCAAACTCCTGAACACAACGACCTTCGGCAGTATTCAATGTACTTCCGAACGATACCAGAAGTTGAACTATTCGAAGGATGTCGTCCGCAGCCATGAACTAAAGGGCTGCAGCTTGGAGGAAATTTTGGCACACTGCGAAGGTGTGACTCACACCCGCGGATTACTCTTCGGCGGGGGGAGCCCACCCACGAAACCAACACGGTCATCCTGACCTTTGATTCGTGTCGCCCTCCAGACACCGTTCGGACATCGTACTTGTTCTTAGACGTGCGACCCTATGTACCGAACCCTCTGCGCTGTTTCAAGTGTCAGAAGTTCAGCCGTAGTCAAGATGCCGACACGCAGCCATGTGTCCTTGTTGTGGCAAAATCGGGCATCCTGAGAAGGAATGCAAAGCTAGTCCTTGTTGCCCCAATTGCCACGGCCAGCACACAGCCTTTAGTAAGGATTGCCCGACTTGGATCAAAGAACGCGCAATCCAAGAGTATAAAGTACGAAATGGCTGCTCGTTTCAGGAGGCTCGCAAAGCTGTCTGCCCGCCAATTGTGACCCTGGTCCCTGGCCAGTCATTCGCAAAGGCAGCCCGGGAAGCCACGAGGTCGGCAAATTCTTCTACGCGGTCAACAGGCATGTCTCTGTGCCTAAAAATAGAAAGGTTCTTCCTTCCGCTATGAGATTCTAGTGGAGGACAGGGTGGATTCTCCCTCCACCCTCTCTTGGAGTTTTTGAGTAGATGCACAGACACCATCCGGCACGTCCAGAGGCCAGATGGAACCACAGCTGAAACACAGGTAGACGTTGCAAACACAATAGCAGCGCCATCTTCAAACAGTACGCACCAGAGGAGACTCCATACCGAAGCCTCCATTTTCTCTGCAGAGGCCACTGCCATTGATTTGACATGGCACTGGACTCCAAAGAAAATTCTCCTAACAAATCTTTCTTTATCCTTTCTGACTCTCTGTCTTGCATCACCTCACTCACAAACTACACACTCTTACACCCAAATATAGTTAGGCTAGAACAGAAAATACACACCTTGACTGAAACAGGGAAAAGTATCGTTTTCGCATAGATACCTAGCCATGTGGGCATCCGAGGAAACGAGCAGGTAGATGACCTGGCGACGAGATCCTTATACCTTCTGTTGGGATCAACGATGAATACTCTCTCACAGATTGACTTTAAAAATAAAGTAAAAAAGTACCCCTCCAGTCTGTGGGAGAGCCATTGGAAAAAATAAACAAATAACAAACTTCACAATATTGAACCCAAACTGGGACCGTGAAATCCTTTGGGCCTCTCCAGAAGAAACGAAGTCATTTTTACTCAATTACGCATCGGATACATGGCCCTAACACACAAATACCTCCTTCAGGGAGATGAGAAGCCATTCTGTGTTGTATCATTTTACCATAAGACACATTTTAACCGAATGTCTAGACTTCGGAGAGACCTGAAGGAAATATTTTAAATGCAAAAAATTACAAGACATTTTTTTGCGTCGTTGTTCCCAACAGAATTTTAGATTTTATGAAGGCCATTGGCCTTTATGGAAAGTTTAGAAATAGATTGTATGAAATTTTAAAATGTTATTTAGAAAGTTTTAAAAATTTGAAATCTATTTACACTCAATTTTTAGAGTAAAAAAAAAAAAATTAGTAATATTGACCGGAATCAGGCCGAGCAATGAGCTATTAAGATAAAACCAACTTGTTTCGCGCGCTCGTACAATAACCTTATGCAGTTGCGAGCGCCGTAAAACCCTGTACTACTAACATAGATTTTGTGTACATGTCCGGGTCCAAATAGTTCATGTTTTTTTGGTAGTAAGTTGGCGCCTCTGGATGATACTTGAAAATTTCCCTCTGGGACAATAAAGTATCATCTTATCTTTTCCTGTCTTGTCTTGTCTTGTCTTGTCTTGTCTTTCTTCTCTTCTCTTCTCTTTTCTTATCTTTTCTTATCTTAGGTGGCTACCCTTTTTAAAAACATATTATGCTTCTCCAATATCCAGCTGACACCGCTAAATTTCAGAGACTTTTACCCGCTGGCCTTGAATTCTGAGAAATAGTTTTTTTCCCAGCTTGATTCTGCTGTGTCTTTGTTAAAAAGCTTGAGTATGAGATTTCGCCACACCTGTGTCCACATTATAGAAGTAATAACCATGATGATAATAATATAAACAATGATAACGACAATGATGATGATAATAATAATAATAATAATAATAGTTGTAATAATAGGCCTACTAAAAATATAATAATGATAATGAAAATGATAATAATAATAATGATAATAATAATAAAAATAATAATAATAGGCCTAATGATAGGCTAATAATGATAATAATAATAACAATAATAATAGTAGGTATGTAGGCGATAGTTTGTCTGTCAATGTGTGATGATGACCAATGCATCTGCAGAGGAGAATACAGTCATATAATAATAATAATAATAATAATAATTATTATTATTATTATTATTATTATTAAAATAATAGTAATAATAATTATAATTATAATAATAATGAATAAAGGATTAGCAAATGGTAGAACCGTAGGTCTAACTGATTTCTGAATGATAAATGTAGCTAATGGTTAAACTGTAGTCATTGATGATGGTTGAAGTGTAGGGTTATCTAATGGTTGAACTGTAGGGTTGGCTAATGATTGAACTGTAGGCTTGGCTGTTCAGTTAAAGTGTAGAGTTAACTAATGATTGAACTGTAGGGTTGGTTAATGATTGAACTGTAGGGTTGGTTAATGATTGAACTGTAGGGTTGGTTATTATGGTTGAAGTATAGGGTTGGTTAATGATTGAACTGTAGGGTTGGCTAATGGTTGAACTGTAGGGTTGGTTATTATGTTTGAAGTGTAGGGTTGGCTGTATAGTTAAAGTGTAGAGTTAGCTAATGGTTGAACTGTAGGGTTGGCTAATGGTTGAACTGTAGGGTTGGCTAATGGTTGAACTGTAGGGTTGGTTATTATGGTTGAAGTGTAGGGTTGGCTGTATAGTTAAAGTGTAGAGTTAGCTAATGATTGAACTGTAGGGTTGGCTAATGATTGAACTGTAGGGTTGGCTATTATGGTTAAAGTGTAGGGTTGGCTAATGATTGAACTGTAGGGTTGGTTATTATGGTTAAAGTGTAGGGTTGGCTGTACAGTTAAAGTGTAGAGTTAGCTAATGGTTAAAGTGTAGGGTTGGCTGTACAGTTAAAGTGTAGAGTTAGCTAATGATTAAAGTGTAGGGTTGGCTGTATAGTTAAACTGTAGAGTTAGCTAATGATTGAACTGTAGAGTTAGCTAATGGTTGAACTGTAGGTGCAGCTAGTTGTGGAGCTGTAAATATCAATTATGGTTGAACTGAAGTTTTAGGTAATGGTTGAACAGCAGACATAGTGAATTGTTGAACTAGCTTTATTAATACTAATAATAATAAAAATGGCATTTGTATTGCGCGCAACCCCGATTATAAAGTACACAGGCTCTGAGCGCTTTTCAATACATTGCGATGTACAACAGTAACTTAAAACGTTATGTTCTGATCACTCCAAATATTCATCTTATTAATTTGAAAACAGAAATGACTTCAGCTGACGTTTGAATGAATCAAAAGATTTGATCTCTCTGAAAGTACTTGACAAAGTATTCCAGATCTTGGGGCCTTGATATTCAAGTGCCTTTTCACCCATTGTTTTAAGTTTTATAGATTGTAAAATAAACTTCTTTTTGTCAGCTTATGACCTTAAACTGTGAGTTGGAATGTACAGCCTCTACAGATTTGATAAACATGATGGCGCATTATCGTTCAAGCCTTTGTGACATAGCGTGGCCAACTTGTACGTAATTCTTTTCTCAAAAGGAAGCCAATGCAATGTCCGTAAAAGAGGTTTAGCAGAGAATCGCTTTCTTTTGCGCAAAACTAAATGTGCAGCATTGTGACTAATCTGGGAAATCAAATGCACTGCCAAAATATCTTTGATGACTTTTCCTTATTCTCTCCTTTAGGCTCCAACAGCTTGACTGCCGGTCAAATCGCAGGAATTGCTATCGGAATTCTGGGACTGGCTGTCATAGTAGCAGCAGCCATCTTTATCGTCTATCGCCGGAAACACGCTGATGACGGCAAGCTGGGACCACCGATGGTATCTAATGGTGGCTTTGACAATGCCCTCTACCATCGCAAGAATGGAGATGAAATAGGCTTCACCAATGGAAACCCTAGTGGAAAGATAGAAGGAGCAGCTGACAAAAATGACAAATCTCAATCACAAGAATTTTCAGACGCATAGTAATTGTTTTTAACTGCTGTTTACATCATTCCTTTTATTTTTTTTTGCTTGTTTGTTTGCATTATCCTTTCAGGTATTTTTCGCTTTCTTAGATGTAGGAAGATCAAAATTTTGTACATTATATTATGATTGCACCGATGACAAAATCAGTCCCATGTTGAAAAAAATAGCAGAAATTTGAACTAATCACATGTATTCATATTACATTATCTCCTCATAAAATGGACATTTGCTAATTTGAGCTATGTTATTAAGAAATTGAAACATAAGCAATTGAAGTCGGTCACCCCACTGGTACCCAGTATGTGTTGGAAGTTGAGACTTTGAATTTTTTCCTTAGGTGGTTGGAAGGCATCACTGGTTAACCCTACTTCTTTTCTTTCCCTCTGTTGCTTCAGTCTGTCTGTCTGTCTGTCTGTCTGTCTTGCTTCTTCCCCGCACTTCATGACTGTTATCGTGTGGGTGTGCTTCTTGTTTTTACTCCAAACTCAAATTCAGGTGATGCTAGAAGACGTTTTTAAAAAGCACCAGCGGGACCGCAGATTTCGATTTAAGAGGATTCAATTATATATATATATATATAAATTGTAAAGCACAAAGGGAATGTTGTAGAGCTGGGGTATAATATATGCTATATCGTCACTGCACTAGCAAAATGGCATAGCTCAGAGTTGTTTTTCAAGTAAAAGAAATCAAGTTGTCCACTTTATTTGGCAATATGTCAACTCCTGATCTTGCCACATCCGACTGATTTTTTGCAACCGTGCCTCATGTATTGTGATTGCACCAATTACTTGTGTTCAATGAGGAGAATGTGGTGGAGTCGGTAGCCTAGTGGTTAGGCTACTGGACTCGTAATTGTGAGATTGCGGGTTCGGGGTTTGAGCCTCAGCTCGGTCCGCCGTTGTGTCCTTGGGAAAGGCACTTTACACGAACTTCCCACTTGGTTCGGTCCTATCGGAGACGGACGTTAAATTTGGAAGTCCCGCCTCTTAAATAACCTAATAGTGTTGATAAGGGCGTTAAACTCGTACCATTTGAGGAGAATGTTATTGCTGAGTGAAGCATGACCGGCGTCTGGTGTAGTGGTTAGGTGCTTTGCCGTCGCAAGCAGAAGACCAGAGTTTGACTCCTGAGTGGGGAGAAAATCTATAGATATGTGAGGCTGCGTGGTGGAATCAGGTTCTCGTCAAAATAATAAAAGTGAAGAAACTTGCATTTTTCTGCAGGTTGGTGAATTTTTATCCAAATTTTGCTTTTTGGCTCAGCACCTTTCATACGCATTAAAGAACTCATTTCTGTGTGGATTTTTCTGAAAAACGTTGATAGAATGCACAAAAAAAATTTAATTTTCAGTCACCACGGACTCTTAAGCTAAGGAAATAACTAATCTTTGGCGGTCATTTTCTCACTAATTTTACCTCTGAAAATCGGTGACGCCCACCTCCTTCATTCACAAATATCTCGACTTGTATTCAAGATAAATGGATTTTTTCCCCAACCAAATAAAGACAGGTGAACAAGCTTTACGATGATACCAATAACTCTACATGCCCAAAAATTGACGAGAGCCTGATTCCATCACATTGCCTCACATATATATTATAGCCCTGTGCTTATGTTTTCATCTATTTGTAATGAACTGAGTGCACGGTATGCCTGCTAACATAGGCTACTATCACAATGAGAATGGGTATATGTTTCAGATGTATGCATGACGAATGCCTTTAAATGTATGTTTATGTCATGTATGACCACATGTGTAAGCAGTGTTTGAATTATACACAAAATATTGCACACCAAATATATGTATTAAGGTGGAGAAATCAAACACTTGTCAAAATAATAAAATCGAAGAAACTGACATTTTACCGTCCCTTGGGTAGTTTTTATCTATTGTTTATTTTTTGGCTCAGCAACTTTCATGTCCACATTTCTGTGTAGATTTTGCTAAAAAAAAAGCATTGATCGAAGGCACAACAAATGTAAATATGAGGTTTTTAAAGACTCTCAAGCTTTTCAAGTCACCAAACGTTGGTGGCCATTTTCTCTTTAAATTTTCCTCCGACATCAGTGGACCCCACCTCCTTTAATCTCAAATATCTCTACTTTCCTTCAAGATAGGTGGGTATTTTTTTCATTAAAAGCAAATCAAATGACACAAGTTAAAAAAAAATTCCAGATAACTCATATGCCCAAAAATTTATGAGTGCCTGATTCCACCATGTCGTGTCACACATATGGGTATCAATCAGCCCATCAAGTGTATTTGGGTTTGCATGGTAGCCTGTTCCTTATAAATGAAGAGTAGGTGGTTGTAGGTGCCCTGGTGTGGTTTGTTTTTTTATGTCCTATTCCTATCACACAGCTATCATCCATCCACATTGATCTCTCCTCCTCCTTTTCTCTGTATGTTATTCTCTGATAACACCTATAATCTTCAGCACTTTTATTACCTTTGCATTGTAATGTAAGTGTCTTTAAACTCTCACTGAACCTAAAAGCTCAAAAGTGATGAGTCTGTTGTTGTTGCAGGAAATTATTGAGTTAAACCTTGGTATAACGTACTCCTTTGCTTCCCAATTTCAAGGTTTTGAATGTATTAGCCATGGTAGGTATAATAAAGAAAAAAAATAATTTTTTTTAAATTTAAAAATGATGATGCAGTCCATAGTACACTTTAAGCTGAGTACGTTATTCCAAGATTTTATTCTCGTTCAATGAACAAAACGTGTTATTCTGAAGAGTGTATGAGTGACTTTTGATTGATAAAAAAGTGTTGTAACTATAGCAGTTTAAAAAGTGTTTTTTAAGTGTTGACTGAAAATAAAATGTTGAATTTGAAACTGAGATGTCACGAAGTAATTGAATTTTAAAGGAATGAAATTGTTGACGAGAGCTAAGAATTGAACGTATGTTCTCTTCTCTGTGTCAATTTACCACTGCAATGTCAAAGTCAGAACACTTTGAGACTGTTAAAGTGATGGTTACTGTTTAGTGTTTTGTTGTTCTTTTTTGAACATTTGCTCCTTTCCTTCATTTGTTCTACTCGCATGATATATCTTTGTTCTGAAGCAGCTTGGTTCTCGTTCTCCAAAGTAGATCTATAGACATAATAATTAGTCCTTTGGCTGTATTTTAAGCTTGCATGTTTCTGTGCTATTTTTCAGGAGGTACTGACTGTATCTTGTTTTCTCTCTGTCTGCTGAGCACCAGGTGCAAATGGCTTCGAACTTTTATATCTTGAATTCTGCATTAAATTTTATGCATAATGTATATATACATAAATATATGTGAATTGAAAAGTTAGTTTACCGGTACTGGATTGCGTGTGGCTTTGCTTTTGAAGTATGAATTATGAATTAGAGTCACTGCACGTGGTACCAACATGACTTTATTGTCAAAATGAAATGAAATAAAATCCAGTGCAACTGAAAGTAGTCGAGTGAATTTTTTGTTGTGCTGCGGAGTGTTGTAAACTAAAGGGTAAACCCCCCCCCCCCCCCCAGAGCAGTGCTATCTGACTGAAGTTGTCTTTAGGCCTTTCTCAAAGGGGGGATATTAATTAACATGTTATTATGCAAAGTAGAATTGTAAATGGGCTGATTTATCAATGTCATGCTCATACTGTGCCGGAACAACATAGGGGGAACAGCTGCTTTTTCTATCCTCATCCTTATTATCGTCATTTTTCCTCTACTTCTTTTGCATGTTTGTCGCTCTCTTGTGATCTGCTATTTCATGGGTGCCTTGATAGTCAACGTAGACTTTATGCTGTTGAGGCTAGAGAGGTTAGCAGAGTAAGCCTGATTCCTGGTTTGGACTTCTCTGTTGATATCCACCTCTTGGCGCTCATATGACTTATGCAGTTGTGAGCTCTGTAAAACCTTGCTAAAACTACTAAAAAAGGGTAATTTTTTTGTAAATTGGCTCATTCTCTAATGAGCTATATAGTGGATCTTGTCTTGAAAGACTTTCTCAGGTAAAGTTTGCTGATCAGATAAAGTAAACGAGTTTAGATCGTTAAATAAGTTGGGTTTTTTAAATTTATAATGTATGGCCTGTTGGGTAAAACATATCCCGTCATAGTGGAAACAGGTGCTTGTCAATTTCTGGGCATTCAGACTCAGTGGCGGAGGGTGGACCAAAATTTGAGTGGGGCTTAGGTTGCTTCCACTTCTTTACCACCGAATAACAAGCAAAAAGAACAAAAGAGTGGGGATTTTTCTATACTCACGGCGAGCCACGACGTTTTGAGAACAATTCAAACGAGAAAAGTCACCTTTGTCGTCTATCTGTTTGTTCTAAGTTAAATTCTTCTGGGTGGTGGGGACGAATCCGCTTCACCTCCAAATTTCTCTGATTAATTTTCATCCGATGAAAAGTTGCCTTAATAGTGGTTTGATGTTATTAATATCACTTAAATCTCAGGGGCACAAACACAAATGTGCACACACAGCACTTTAATAAATAGATTCCGTCTTTGAGCTGTATTTTGATGTGTAGTCGAGGAAAGCAGACAGCACCTAACAATAAAGGTCCAATGAGCGCATTAATAACTGTGTCACTGTGGGAAAGTGTCTCGTACCTCCCCC